CCTAAAAACGAGTAATAGCGGGGTGCCGGGGTGGTTGAGTTGGTTGAGCATCCGACTGGTTTCAGCTCAGGTCATGATCTCAGGGTCGTGAGACTGAGCCCTGCATTGGGCTCTGCGCGGGGTGTGGAGCCTGCTTAGGATTCTCTCTCTCCCTCTCTCTGCCCCTCTCTGCTCCCCACTCGAGCACTCTCCCTGCCCCCCCCAAAAAGAAAAAAAAACAATTTGGTTAAACAATAAAGAGAATTTATTGACCCAAGAACTCAAAAGGACTGTGGTAAGGAGTATTCCAGGTAAGGCTTGATTCAGCAGTTTAATCACCAAGGATTAAATTCCTTTCCATCTGTTTGCTCTATTTTTCATCATACTGGCACCCTCCTAGGATTACTTCTCATGGCTACAAAATGGCTGCTTGCAGCAATAAGATGTATGCACATTTTTAAAAATTCAACTTCAGTAAAAGAAGGATGGCTTCTCTCTCCAGCTATCAAACAAAGGTCCTAGACTTCATTTTGATTGGGCCAACTTAGGTAAATACCTGTCCGTGAATATCACTGTAGCCAGAGGATTGGTTTAGGCCTAGGTCAATGTCCATCCCTGAGTTGATCACATGACAAAGAGTATGGGTTTATGAGAATTGGTTTGTGGTTGATCTCTGGAGTTAAAGGATGGTAATACCACACAAACTACAATACAATGCTAATCAGGATATATGGGATGGGATGGATGCTTGGTGGGCAATTAATTGTACCTACTGTAAGAAGCCATACCATAATCAAAGGTTTGATTTGTGACATGGAATCAGAATGAAGAAAAACAGATACACAAATGCTTAATGGTATCAAGATAAATAGTAGGATTCACCCAATGTTCTACATGGGTTTCCCTTTTCTTTTTTTAAATTAAAGATTTTTTTTTTTTTAAGTAATCTCTACACCCAGTGGGGGACTCAGACTCATGACCCTGAGATTAAGAGGTCACATGTTCCACTGACTGAGCCAGCCAGGCAGCCCTCCACATGGATTTCCTTACTAAGGATTCTAGAACATCTTCTGACTAACTTATGATTCTATCAAAGAATGAGTGGAACAAAGAAGCAAATACTGTATGATTCCACAGACACGAGGTATCTAGAGTAGTCAAATTTATAGACACAGAAAGCAGAATGGTGGTTGCCAGGGGCTGAGGAGAGGGAATGGGGAGTTATTCTTTAGTGGGTATAGAGTCTCGGTTTCGCAAGAGGAACAAAATAATTCTGGAGATGGATGGTGGTGATTGTTTCACAACAGTATGAATGTCCTGAATACCACTGAACCATACACTTAAAAATGGGAAAGATGTAAATTTTGTTATGCGTATTTTACCACAATTTAAAAAAAAAAGGAATAAATGGATCCATCAGATGAGTTATGAGCATCTCTTGCAGGCCTTGGGGTTGAATTTAGGTATCTCCACTCTAAAGCGTTATGTGCTTGTTTTTAAGTCAAATTATGAAAAAAACAAGTAGTATTTCTCTGTTGCAAAAGAGGGTCAAACACTACAATGACACATAATGATGAAAATGTCAACCTTTGGGCTCAAGGACCAGGTTGGAGGCAGTCCCCTAGTCTCTGGCCATCCTGAGATTTCAGCTAAGTGTGTCCTGCTTCAACTGGCACAGCTAGAGACAATTTAAGTTCTGTTCTAGGAGAAACACCCCACACCCACACCCACCCCCAGTGCTCTGCCACCTCATCGTTCAATAATAGCTGGGAGGTGACAGAGATCCCCTGGCCCAGGTGCTCTGAACACAAAGCCCAGCTTCGCCAGCGTGAACAACATTCCATCCTCAGTGGCCGTCTTCTGCGAAGTTTGCATCATGAGCATCGGTGCCAAGCAGTAGAACCTCTGACTCTCTCCGCGGGGCCGACTCATTACTGGACTACCTGCAAGGAAGTTGCTGGAGACATCCAGTAGAGAAGCTAGCTTGTCTCTCCTCATAATCTTACATCCAAGTGCTTAGAGGAAGCTCATGATAGTCCCCGAGCACCGGCTGAAAACACTGGTTGTATTTCAGAAACAAAATAAGAGGATGGAGGAAAACCGATCCTCGGTGGCTGAAGCCGCACTTCCAGGGGCCTGGAAGGAGAGCTGGGGCGGGAGAGCAGGGAAAGGGAGAAGGAAGTCTGCGGAGTGCAAGGGCCGGATAAGGTGTGAAAGCCACGTGACACTGCAGTAGGCCTTCAGGCACCTCAGCGTGGGGAATGGGGTTCTGCAGAGCTCTTGATTACATGGACTCTAATTTCTTTACACCATGTGATTCCCACATATCTGATCATTGAACTCTATAGACGCCATGCGGGTACTCAGTTGGTGGAGTTCAATAGCAACCACAGATACTCCCTTCAGAGAATATTTCTACCTAAAGGATAAATTTATGACTAAAGGATACATGTTTCACCTTTTTTTTTTTAATTTTTTTTTTTTAAGATTTTATTTATTTGAGAGAGAGAGAATGAGAGACAGAGAGCATGAGAGGAAGGAGGGTCAGAGGGAGGAGACTCCCTGCAGGGAGGCTCCGAGCAGGGAGCACGATGTGGGACTTGATCCCGGGACTCCAGGATCATGACCTGAGCTGAAGCAGTCGCTAAACCAACTGAGCCACCCAGGTGCCCCTAAGCTGGCTTAGTCATTCCTATAGAATTAAATACCATCGTCTGTTGGTGGGTTAGCATTTCCTAAAGGAAGGAGCAAGTCCCCAGAGAACAGCAAGACATCAGCTAGGGATAAGTTCCTGTTTTGTTTAGGTTTAATAATGAGTGAGAAGCTTAACACACCTATTATGGGGGTGGTTATATATTATTATTCGTCATGTGGTAACTGTTTTGGGACTCTATTAAGTGTAGGACATTGTGGTAAACTCTATATATACATCGGCTCCTCTAACCCTTAAAACACGGTACGGTCAGTATCACGCCCAGTCTACGGACAAAGATATCAAACTCTAAGTGTTGTAATTTGTCCAAGATCACATCGTTAAGAAACAGTAGATCTGTGATGCAAACGAAGATCAGTCTGAGCCAAAAAAAAAACAAAAACCCTCATATTTGTAATGATTATGGTTAAATAGACCTCTGTCTTTGTTGGACCAATGAAGCTTTGGTGGGCATTCTATACTTTGAATACTTCTCTCAGACAAAGCTGAATGTTGGAAAAACAAAATTTATTCTTTAGGCAAAACAGACCAAAACTTGAGGTTGCATAATGTCCCCTGTGAATGGTGATAGCTTGTCTCTTCAGGAGAGGAAAGGGATGTATTCTGAGTAGTAAAATGAGTTTCCCTGTTTTCAATCTTGCTTGTGAAGCCTACTTCAAAGGACTATTGCTGGCATAACATCAAGATTAAGCAGGGGTGGAGCGCCTGGGTGGTTCAGTCCATTCAGCCTCTGACTTTGGCTCAGGGCATGATCTTGAGGTTGTGGGATTGAGCCCTGCATGGGGCTTCCTGCTCAGCAGGGAGTCTGCTTGTCCCTCGCCTTCTGCCCCTCCTCCTGCTCATGCTCTCTCTGTCTCAAATAAATAAATAAAAATCTTAAAAAAAAAAAAAGATTAAGCAGGGGTTAGCAGACCCAGGTTCAAATTCAACTTCTACCACTTCATAGCTGTTCAACCTTGGGAGCCTCAGTTTTCTCATCTATAAAATGGGCATCATAATAATGTAAAATTATTAGCTTCCTTTTAATGTTAGCTATTTGAATAAGCATGCCATTGCACTTTTAATTTTCATTTCTCTAATGACTACTGATGTTGAGTATCTTTTGATGTGCTTATTTGCCACTACGTCTTCTTTGGAAAATTATCTATTGAAATCTTTTACTCATTTTTAAAAATCAGGTTGTTGGGGCACCTGGGTGGCTCAGTTGGTTAAGCAACTGCCTTCGGCTCAGGTCATGATCCTGGAGTCCTGGGATCGAGTCCCACATCAGGCTCCCTGCTCAGCAGGGAGTCTGCTTCTCCCTCTGATCCTCTTCCCTCTCGTGCTCTCTATCTCTCATTCTCTCTCTCTCAAATAAATAAATAAAATCTTTTTAAAAAAATCAGGTTATTGGTCTTCTTAGTATTAAGTTTTGAAAATTTTCTAAAAATAAATTCTGGATACATACCAGGTAGAGGTGAGGTATGGGACAACTGGAACTCTGATACATCACTGGTGGGAATGTAAAACGTTACAACCACTTTGGAAAACTGCTTGGCCAGTTCTGAAAAAAATTAAATACATACCCACAATATGACCCAGCCATTCAAGTCCTAGGTTTTTACCCAAGCAAAATGAAAACATACATCTAAGCAAAGACTTGTGCATGAATTTTCATAGCAGGTTTATTGGTAATAGCTCCGAACCAGAAGCAACCTAAAAGTCCATGAAGAAGTGAAAGGATAAACAAACTGTGGTATATCCATACCATGGAATATTACACGTCCAGGAGTGAAGTACTGATACATGCTCCAACATGAATGAATCTCAAAATAATGATGCCAAGTGAAAAAAGCCAGACAAGAAATAGTATATATTATACAATCCCATTTATACACAATTCTAGAAAATGCAAATTCATCTATAGTGAAAGAGGCAGATCAGTGATTGCCTGAGAACAGATGGAAGGGCATGAAGAAGTAGGAGGGAGGAAATACAAAGGAGCACAAAAAAACTTTCCAGGATGGAGCACCTGGGTGGCTCAGTTGGTTCTGGGATCGAGCCCCATGTTGGGCTCCCTGCTCGGCAGGGAGCCGCCTTCTCCCTCTCCTCCCTGCTCATGCTCCCTCTCACCATCTCTGTCTGTCTCTCTCACAAATAAATAATAAATAAAATCTTAAAAAAAAAAAGAAACTTTCCGGGATGATGGATATATTCATTATTTTCATCACAGTTACGGTTTTCCAGATAAATATATGTATATAACATAAATATAATTGTATATAATTTTATGTATATATCAAAATGTATCAATTTGTACCTTCTAAATATGCGGTTTACTATATGACAATTACACCTCATTAAAGCCTTAAAAATGTCTTAGCTCCCAATATTCCCCTACCCTTGTTGCCCCTGATACAGAAGAGGGGCCTCCAGCAACCATGTGTATACCACACAACCCTACCTTTTTGGCCAGAGCTGGTCCATCTGACACTGCAGGTCACTAAAAATGAGAAATATGGATGTCAGTGTTCTAGACAAGAGGTCCATGATTTTTCTTTTTCTGAGGTCCCTGGTGTTGCCTGGATCTGGCCCATCCAAAGACTGGTTATTTTAATTCTTAGATTTCAGAACTCGAGTGTCCCATCAATAAATCCCTTTCATGCTAGCTAGCTGGAGTTGGTTTCTGTTTTCTGCAACCCTGGGGAAGAAATGAAATTGACATTTAACTCGTGGCATTGGTATTTCTTATACTTTCAATCACAAATGGCCACACTGCTATTTTATAAAAATAGGGTGTTGAACTGGCTCTGTGAGTCATTCGTCCATCCCTTCATTTCACGAACTTTTATTTGATGGCACACTACATGCCAGGTGCACGGTACCAACCATTTTCACATCTTCAAATTATATAACAGCCTGTATAACAATCTCATTTTACAGTTGAGAAGCTCAGGTTCAGAGGGACTCAGTTACTTGCTTAAAGTCAAAGAATCCTTAATAGGCACTGGATCCAACCATTTTGAGCCCAGGCCTGTCTAATTTCAGGGGCCACGCTCTGCCACATTCATTACCCAGCTCTGTTCCCTGGTTGTGGTCAGCCCCAACATCAACAGTGTGCCCCTGTGTCCAGCCACTGGCTAGTGACTTTTGGAGCCAGGGACCCAAGATGCTTCCCTGATCCTCTCATGGCCAACAACAGTGTCAAGTCATGGCAGCTCTGGGCGGGCCTTGCCCCTGTGGGCCTCAGTGTCTTCGAAACAGATAAATGATCTACTCTAAAAGGCAGGAATAATCGGGGGATCCTTTTTTCCCCAGTGTTGCTCTCTGTTACCTAGTCATGAAACTGACTCCTCAGTAACAAACGAACAGCCAAATCCTGAAAATAAAAATGGTCATCCACAACTACAGGAAATGTCCAAGGAATGGCACCCCTGCCCACAAAAACAAAAGGTAATGGGATTAGGATATTCTTCCTAAGAACCCATGGGAACTTTGCACACGTTTTAGAAAAAGCTCAGGTTTGAAGCTGAGCTTTTTTTATACCATTACTGGAAACACCCCTCATAATTTCAGGAGCACAGGTTCAAGCTAAAGCCAGAGACCTCATGATACTTTCTTTTCCTCAGGGAAGTAAGCCTACCAGAGTAGAAGATTTTCATTTTCAATTTGAGAGATTTCAGTATAGTTTAAATGTGTTGCTCTTGAATTTAAAAATACAATAAAAGGTGTCTCAATAAAAAAAATAATAAAACGGGAAAATTCATAGATCTTCACCTTATATATTCTTCCTTGTCATCAACCTGCAGAAATATGAAAGCTGCCCAGAGCTCATGTGCACTGGAAATCATCACGGTGACATCTGGGAGAGGGAAAATGGATGCAAGCATTCAATAACCTGGTAGTATGAACATAGCTTTTGTTATCATATCCATATCATAAAAATTATACACACGTTAAACATATTTCAAACACTAATAACATACGGTAATATTTACAATTTGTTAAATTATAAAAATAGAGTACAAAGACAGGTATTCAGTTTGATCCTGACATGTGTGGTGTGTGTTTATGTGTGTGTGTCATGAAGAAATATACCAAAATATTAACAGCAGTGATATCTGAGTATGGGTAAAATGCCTTTCTTCTTACTTTTATATAGTATCATTATTAAAATACATATATGCTAAATGTAATGTGGTATTGTCAGCAGATAGGATCCTGGAACAGAAAAAGCATATTAATGGAAAAACTTGTGAAATCTCAGTAAAGTCTGTACCTTAGTGAATAGTAATGTGCCAGTGGCAATATCTTACTTCGATAATTGTACCATAGTTATGAAAGATGTTAACACTATGGAAAGCTGAGTATATCTCTGTACTATCATTGCAATTCTTTTATTAATAAAATTATTTTTCCAAAATAAAAAGCTTTTAAATATATATATATGGCAAGACAAGAGGAACAACAGTGACAGACAAGCCATTCTTCTTTATTTGTTAGGAGCACATAATTTAGTATGTATAAAATGTTTTATTTTCCAGATGTATCTTGTTCTTCCATCTAGATTGTAACTTTTATGGCCAGTGCTATCCCGGCTCCTCTGGATCCCCCAGACAGCACTTAGACCAGTGCTGGGCTACGGATGTGCAACCAGGATCAACAGGTTCATTGATTAGTTGACTTGTCCTGAGAAAAGACACTAAAAGGGACACCAAAAAATCCACTGTGAATGCTGCTTTTTCTCATTTTGGCAAGTGCTGATAGCTCAGTTCCAAGTGCATTTTTGATGAACAAGAGAAAATATTAATAAACTAATTAGTTCGAATCATATGAAATGGCATTTTTAGCTAAAGATATTTCATATCTGCATTCATATGGTTCAACTTAAATAATAAGTCTTTTACATTAGTCATTGAGGGAGGGCATCAGAGACAATACCTTACAAATCACAGTGCGCCCTTTAATGCAATTATTATTTCCATGAGTTCCTCTCCTACAGGGCTTGCTACTTGGCACTCTCAACCCATACATTCTCTTCTTCCCCAAAAGTTACATGAGCAACAAAATTCTCCCCAGGAGTTTGGGATAAATTTCTAAAACACCAATTCAGGGATGCCTGGGTGGCTCATTTGGTTATGCATCTGCCTTCTGCTCAGGTCATGATCTCAGGGTCCTGGGATCAAGCCCTGGGTTGTGAGATATGCAGCAAGTAACTCATTACTATTTTTTTTTTAAGATCTTATTTATTTATTTGATAGAGAGACACAGCGAGAGAAGGAACACAAGCAGGGGCAGTGGGAGAGGGAGAAGCAGGCTTCCCGCGGAGCAGGGAGCCCGATGCGGGGCTCGATCCCAGCACCCCGGGATCATGACCTGAGCCGAAGGCAGACGCTGAACGACTGAGCCACCCAGGCGCCCTACTCATTACTATTTTTTTTAAACCCCAAACTTATAACTGGTTTATCTTTTGCTTTTGAATGTAAATGAGAACAGATTCAAGGTAATCCTTCTACTGGCCTTACATTCACACTCACTCACTCCCTTGCATCCGCAAAGGTTCTCTTGAGTGGGGGAGAAAGAAGCGCAGGAAGAGCCAGGGCTGTGGGACCATGCGCAATGCTGGCTGTGTTCACGTGGGACACGGCAGCAGAGCATCAGCCTGTGCGCAGCTGCAGACAGAAGGAGGTTGAGAACCACTATTACAAAGGCTTAGCAACTGCCACAGGTTCCAAATTCAGAACTCAAGAGTCTGTTTAACTATTTCAACACACACAAGACATCCATTTGACAGGTATATGCAGCCTGACATCTGTAAGGATATCTCTTATGCTATGGCCATATTCACTGAAAGCGATGCTTTTTAAACTTTTTTTGTCTCTAGAGAATGTTTTTTCTCCAAACCCAATCTTACAAAAATTCTCCCTGAGTGCCTACTGTGTGCCAGGAAGAGCTATATTATAGTCATTGATAACACAGATGCTGTCCCCATGCACAAGAAATTAGTTGTGGAGACAAACAATAAGTCAGGCAGAGATTAAGTAAAGAATTATCAAGTGCAAAGCATCATGAGAGAAATGAATAGGACACGGGGCCAGGGGGAAATCTAATCAGATAGGGATATCAGGGAGGGTTTCTCTGAAGCTTTAAGTCTAGGCTGAGACCTAAAGGCCGAGGAGAAGTCAGCCAGGCAAAGAACAGGAGATGGTGCACGAGGCCAACAACAGTTCTTGAGGTGGGCAAACGAACGTGTAACCTGGTGCCAATCTGCCGGACCGGGCAGTTTCTCCCTGGTAATGCTCAGAGGCCCAGGTAAACATTAGAGAGGGCCTACTTTGGATTGACAGAGAATTGGAAATTCTGGGCAGTGGGTGTCACTGAGGGTCTAGGAGGTAGGGGAGATGAAGGTACTTTGAGAAATATGAAGATGTTAACATTCTGTTAGAGATTGGAGAGACCCCATATTTACCAATGCAGACACTTTATTGTTTTTCCTTCTCTGACGTCTTTGCAGAGATCTGAATGCCTCTGATCCATCACAGGGACTTGGAAATGAGCAGATTTCGCTAAAATCTGGAGGTGCCTGGAATAGAAGTGCAAGTTCACATCATCAGGATTATATCATTTCTTAGAAGACAGCCATCATTTATATAACAACAAACGGAGCCTAAAGCAGCACTTTATTCCAGTACTTTTCTATGATTCCATCCCTCAACTGGGGGAATATTGTAAAATCCGTGATAACTTGCCATGTCCCACATATATCCACCATTACAATAAATCAAGGTTTCATGTTTGTAATTTATGTCTCAGCACTTAGAGAATACCTTACTAGTTATTTTAAATAGATAAATCAAAACTTTGTTAATAAAATATTAGAAATGTCATAAGACCTCTGATTTATTTAAAGATGTCTAACATTCTTGATCTCCATTTATTTCAAGTTTTAAGAAGAAAAATGGTTAGCTGGATCATCCTGCTCTTATTTTTATTCCTTAATTTAGGAGATTACATCTCAGCTCTAAAACCATTTTTAATAATGAGATATGCAATTTTTAACTGCTGATGTTTTTTAAAAGAATAAACATGATTAAGATTAATTCATGCAGTCCCAGATATACTTGAATAATGGATTAGTCTGTATAGCACATTTGATTCATGTCTGATAGTCAAGCTTTTTTATTTTAGTTGCATCCATATACACAGAAATTTACTCCTTTGTTTGCTTAAAAGCCAGAACTGCTTATGCAATAGAAGGAAATGAATATAGACTGAACACTCCTGGGGAGTACATTCCAATTTCCCAGATTACCAACTGGATATATTCACAGAGAATGATAAGAATACACCAAGTTAACATTATAAAACAAAGAGCGGAAGGTATTCATGGATTACAGAAAGGTTCTTTTCAGAAGTAAAGTGCCAGAAGGTAAGAATTAAATAAATGAGAAAAAGTAAGTAAAGAGGGCAGCAGAAAGCTTTTCAAGGTGATAGACAGGTATATGGCAGAGAATGTGGTGATGGTTTCACAGGTGTATACTTATCCCCAAACTCCTCAAGTTGCATACATTAAATATGTACAGTTTTTGAATGTCAATCATCCCTCAATAAAGGGGTTTTTAACAACAACAACAAACGAAAGAATTAAATAAATGGAAAGCAATGAAAAGAAAAGACAAAATCTGGATAAGCATACAGGAGAGGAATGAAAGGGATACTTTCCTTTTCTAGCAAAGAGTTACATCCACACCAGATCTCAAGGCAGAAACTGATTATCCATTTTTGGTGCCAACTTACTTATATTTTCCATCAGGGAGTATGAGGGGCAAATTTTTGTCATTGACCTTGGAAATAATCACCAACATTCTTCACTTACTACTTGAATGATTTTTGTCCTTGCATTAGTGAAAATATATATATTTGATGCTGATGAAAACTCAGGCAAAACAACATAATGGAGCTAGTCACTGTTTTTACAATTTCAAAATGGCCAGCAAAAAGACCTAGTCTGGCATCATCTTAGTGGGCCTGTTGATTTTTTAGTATTTGCCAAATAACCCTATTAAGTGACAACAACATTGAATATAAAATTAACACTTACTGTAAAATGAGAAATAATCCATGATAGGAAGTTTTAAAAAATGCAAAAGAAAGCTAGCAGTTCCAAAGGACATTCCTACTTAGTACTGGCTAGACTTTACAAAGCATAAGGATTGGGGGGAAAAACTTACCTAGGCTCAGCAACTAATAGCCATGTGATCTGGAAAAACTCAGGAGCTTCAGTTTTATCATGTACAAGGTAAGAGTATTAAACAGTGTGATCTCTTAGGTCCTGTTTTAGCTGTGAAGTCCACTATGATTGACCACCCGCCACAACACTGTCGCCTTCCATTGAGTACAGAGCCTTATAACTGCCAAGTGTGCTTAACTGACAAATTACGGGCTAGTTTAAGAAAACACCACCCTTTCTAGCCTAGGTCTTGTTACCCCGGAGAAATACCGAACATTAACATTTAAAGGGATCCTTATATTAGTTATCTGTGTAAACTCAAGATTAAAGGAACATACTCCTTTCAATTTTACTTCTATTCCTTACACGATTTGTTTAAAACCAAAAGAGGTAGGACACTGTTTTCTCCTCTCGTTGATGGCAGTTCACCATTACTCCACTGCACACACATTACTCACTGTACTCACCCTACTATTTGCACACACATTATAGAACTATCAAACAGTAATAAGAATCATACAGTCAAAGAACAGATGCTACAAACAGACTGCAGGTTACGTGAGTGCCCATTTTTAAAGCTGTATGTATTTTAAAGGTGAATTGAAAAAGAGAAAGAATTGTTTACTATGCCCAAAGAGGCATATGTGGGAACAACTAGCAAAAAGCAGAAGAGTAACGAGGATTCTCAGTAATACCTAAAACACAGCAAAACCACTTCTTAAGAAAAGTAAATAGGAAAAAATGGTTAACACTTAAACTGGGAAAAGACCAAGTTGCCAAAAATAATTTTAAACAATGGCATATAGGAATAGATGATCTAATGTTGAGTCTCCCCCGCCCCCCATTTTCAGATCCTCAGTTTCTGTGATTGACCTTCCAGTGAGGGAGCCTATGCCATACAATGGTAATGAATAAAACAAATGAGCAACCAGAAGCTAAAAGAATGAGGAAAGTCTCTGTATTCCTACAGCTCAAAGTCAAGATTCAAAGTCTCCATTCCCTAGCCTGTTCAAAAAGATAAAAGAAAAACATTCAGATCCTTGAATTTAGTCCCCAAAGAGAAGCCACCCCCTTAAATAAAGCACTTCACAGCTCTCTTCTCACTGAAGCTATTGTCTTGAGCTGTTTCCACCCATGTTCCCATTAACACAGTAACATAACTGCCCTTGGCATACGTTTGAAAATGTAATAGCACCTTGATCCTGCATTTCTAGTTGCAGGGATGGCAGAGAGGGCTGCCGTGGGATGTTACGTGTTCTTGCACGGCTTTACCTACAGAGTGTGAAGAGGTAGTAGGTTGGAATGAATAGTCAGGCAACTAGGATGTGGAAGATCTCACTTTGCCTAATGACCTAAAGGGAAAACCACACATGCCTGACAATTTCCTGGGACCAGAAAGACAGGAGACTCACTCTGCCTCTCCCAATTCCTGGACAATTCTGGGAATCTCATGTCTTGGACATCTCTTTGTTCTGTTTGATTGGATTTGGGGCATTACGTGTGGCCCTGAAGAGGCCCCCAAACGCTGTATCTAAAATACAAGGAGGAATGTGTTCCAGGGAGAAAGGAAAGTGTCCTACTGCCCTGCTTTAGCCAGGGCTCCCGCATGGTGCCCAGGGACTCAGTATGATGGAAGCAGACTCATTAGAACTTAGTGGTTTATGACAATGGCTTTTCACATTCACACTCAAGAAAGAAGAACTTCAAACTACCCTAAGGTCAAAGAGTATAGAGGCCTAAAAACAGAGGTAGGTCTCAGCCCTTCTCTGACATGTGAAGGCATCAATATGATAGTCATGCCTGATCAACTTGAACTTAAACTGTCTGCACTTGAGGCATCCTTCTTCAACTCACAATTATTTCTCGTTCAAATCCAGGTTTCTCTTGGGCCACTAACTGCTTCCAAAAGTATTTCAGGCAATTCCTAGATTTCTACTAAGGTCGAAAGGGCTATGAGGACATCGGTTAATGTTAACGCTGGGTCCAGTACATGAGGCAGAAGAGGCTGGGATTGGCAGCAATCCAGTTACATGCGCCTGACATGAATGGGCTTGTATATGAATAAACTGCCAACCCATGAGGCTTTTTGGCAGAACAAGAAAGAAAAGAATCTTATGATCTGGTAGAATATTCTAAGAAGTATGCTAAGTTTGACCTCAAAGTGAAAAGGACCGCGCTTACAAAGTATTCTTTCTTAGGAAACTGAACCACAATCTTCTTAAGCTCTCACATCTATCACCTAAAACAAATACAGTAGGTAACATAGTAGTTGAGGCTACCTTGAAGAAACCACCAACCTTAGAACTGTTGGACATTTTACAGAAATTGACATGGTTTCGTCAACAAATTGATGGCATTAAGAAACGCGCGCGTGTGTGTGTGAACGCACGCGCACTGTTTAGAATGAACGAAACTTTAATGACGTTAACAACCAACTGCAATGTGTAGACTGTATTTGGATCCTAACTTGCACAAAGTAAATGTGAAAAGTCACTCTGGTGATAATCAGGGAAATTTAAACATAGACTATTAAAGGACACTGGGTAAAGTCCTTATCAGTTACAAGTCTATCCTAATGCAATGACAAGATACTTGGAAATTTTCTTTAACGTTCTCAAGAAAAAAGTGGGGGAGTCACTGAGACAACATGAGCAAAATGTTGATTTTTGTTGAAGTGGAGTGGCAGATAGATGCAGGTTCCTTCTAGTCTCCTGTGACTATGTCACAATTTCCACAATAAAAAAGGTTGAGAAGCCATTGTATTACCATTAATTTTAAAAAGCACATAAATATCATTATTATAACATAATTTATCTCAGCGCAAAACGGAAATAACCTCAAAGTTCGGCAGCAGGAAAAAAACTTTTAAAACTATGAAAATCCATCTGACAAAAATTATGCAGCCATTAAGACGACAATACAGAAGAGAGCAACAAAGAAAGTGCTTATGGAATTATTTTTAGAATAAAGATTATATCCATATTATGATCTTAACTCTTTAAAATATGTGTAAAGATAAACTGAGCAGAAGAGTATATAAGGAAAAATAAAAAAGCAAGTTGATGTGTTATAAAGTGCGGTGGAATGTTTTTCTTTTTGGTGAGACAACACTGTTTCTCAAAGTAAAAAGCTGACATGAACAAAACAACAAAAATTGCCCTGGGCCTCCATGTGCTGAAATGCAACACAGTGCAGCAGGAACAGCACGAGCTTTGGAGTCGGACAATCTGGGGAGTTATTTACACAACCTGAGAATCGGTTTCCTCATCTCTAAAATTAATATAAAATATCTACCCAGGACACTGCAAGGATCAGCGGCATAAGTAAATATCTATCACAATCACCTGGCATGC